CCACAGAAGAGTAGTAGATGGGCGCCCCAGCGTCGTTGGTCACGTGCATGAGCGGCCCCATGATGGCGGAGCACATCGTGAAGGTACACGGCAACATGGCCGACACCACCGCGATAGCCACACCCGTGTTCTTGTCGCCGTTCTGGGGAGGAGAAGTTTGGTTTTTGTTAAGTTTTAGTTTTGTTTTTCTTTTAGTAGAGTTCTTTTCGGCGCTCGCAACTGCATAAGGTTATACGAGCGCCAAGGGGTGGATGTCAACAGAAAAGCCCCTACAGTGAATAAGACTTACTCTGCTCACCTCTCTAGTTTCAACAGCACAAAGTTGGAGCTTTAGTCAGAGTTTTTTTCCCCACAGTGATGATATTAAGCTATCTCAGAATTGCAAAGTCCTTTCTGACATTTATGGCTGTTTTCAGTTACTTAGATCATGAAATCAAAAACCAAATATTAACAATTCTATCTGCTCTCTCAAAATCGTAAGAATATTCGGAGCTGCTGTCAAGATATTCAGAGAAGTGGATTCGGAAAACCTTGACAAAATGTGAAACTCAACATCTTTCATTCTGAAGAGCGCCTGATTTTCAGCCTCAGGATACCACACAGAGTCGCGGCCATGAAAGTTGTCGTTTTCCACGCACCAACACAGTCTTATGGCCTAGTTACACGTAACGATAAATTGTGTCAGATTCGTTGTATGTGAGAACTGTTTGTTTTATTGAGCTGTGTAGCCTGTTAACACGTTCCTATCTATTGTCCAGTTTTTTTCATCAGGTAGATTCCGAGTCATTGACTTGACTGTGCAACGCACCGGGTGACTTTGATACACAACTTCACTATTGACGATCAACTAATTAAGAACATTGCTAAAATATACATAATAACGCATCAAATCAGGTTCTTCAAAGCAACTTTGTTTATTTTGAGACGCTCATTCTGAATATGAAATGCGTTTGTACCTGCGATGATTATTTGGAACATTTTGAGCTCTGTGCGGTGGCAAAATTCAAAGTGATTCTACATCCCAGCGCGCCTCCCCCAGATCTGAAGGTGATTGCACGGAAAATATCAAGCTGTGCTTGATTTCTGGACCGAGTCTCCAAGCCATAGTCCAATCGTCCAAACTTTGAACAATTTTGTGGTTACACCTGGCGATTAGTCTCATGATCAATAGATCATCCAGTTTTTGTACAATTTATCGTTGCGTGTAACCGGGGCTTTAGTCTGACTCACCTGCTGCTGCGAGATCTGGTTGACTAGGATGAAGGGCACCGTGTTGACAACAGAACGGAAGCAGCCGAGCCAGACTGAGGACAGGAAGTAGAGCCAGAGGCGGGGCCAGAGGGCAAGGGTCATGGCTAGGGCCGCGAAGGATGACACAGCGAGCCACATAACCCGGATGCAGCCTGGAATAGAAATGGGATACAACTTTATGAACGTATATCAAATCATAAACATGTTGCTGTTGTTGTTGTTGTTGTTGTTGTTGTTGTTGTTGTTGTTGTTGTTGTTGTTGTCATTGCTATTGTTATTATTAGTGTTGTTGTTGTTGAGGTTGCTGCTATTGTTGTTGCTGTTGTTGTTGTCGTTCTTAGTCTTCTTGTTCTTCTTGTTGTTCTCCTCCTCCTCCCCCTCCTCCCCCTCTTCGTCTTCCTCTACTCACCCAGTTTTGACAGGGCAGTCTCTAAGAAGAAGGTGAAGAACGTAAAACTGATGTAGTATGTCAACGTCCCAGCCGTGCCCATGTCTACGCCCTTCAAGAACTTCGTGTACAAAACACTCCCCAGGGGAGCATTCGGATCTCCACCGTAGATTCGGAGACCTGGGCAGGGTAGAAAAGGATGTAGTAAATAAAAATATGTTTTTTAAAGTTTTAGTAAGAGTTGAATGGCACTTGCAACACAATACGGTCATATAAGTGCCGAAGATTAGAAGTGTTACAAGAGAGTAACAAACATAAAAAAGAAAGAGAGGAGAAAAAGACGATTGATGTTTGATAGGAAAGAAGAAGGTAACCACACCAGAGCACCCGCCAACCATCTACAAAAATAATTTTTAAAGAAAGGTCGGTAGAGTGTTAAGGGTTAGTAAGAGCTTTACGGCAACCCAATATTACGGTCCTATAAGTACCGAAGATTTTCCCTGAGAAAAAAAGGAGATAAAATATAATACCAGCAAAAACGATAACAACAACCATAACGAAAACAGCAATGAGAACTTTAACAACAATAATAGCATCAACATCACCTCTAATATCACCGATAACAAAACCAACCAAACAGACAAACAAACAACCCCCCCCCCACAAAAGACAAAAAACAAACAAACAAAAAAACGACAAAAAAGCAACAACAGGAGCAGCAATGATACTATATTGCA